CTCCACAAACTGCTAGCGATGGCCTCCAACCTAAGAGCGATGGCCTCCAACCTACTAGCGATGGCCTCCAACCTACTGGCGATGACTTCCAACCTTATAGGGGCTTTTTGGCCATGGTGCGGCACCAGTGGTGACCAATGTGATTTTTGATGTCGAGGATTTTCAGCTTCATGACTTTGGAAGATCGCCTTCGGACCTGGAGCTCTTGTGTTTCAGCCGTGTTGGTGAAGAAATAGCTGTTGAAGACTATGGGACACAGCCTTGGGGTAGTTTCCTTCAATGAGACGCAAGATCTAACAGGGAAGTTGCTGCGAATGTTGCTGCGAATGTTGCTGTATGTTGTGTGTACTTTTCGTTGGGAGCCGCCCAACTCAGCGAATGGCTGGGTGTTTTCTGGTCTATGACCCTTCGGGGTGGGAACGCCGAACCTCCCAGGCGGTCGGAACGCCGGGGGGACGTCGCGTCGCCCGCGTCGCCCGCGGCCAGACCGCAAAGAGGGAGCCCAGGGAGCCCGCGGCCGCTTCTCAGGGGTATTCCAACCTTGCTGCTCGTCGAACGAAGGGGATGGGTGGAGAGTCCCAAATCCACGAGACACCGCAGTGGATGGCACGAGGGGCTGAAATGCAGGCGAAGCACCGAAAAGACCAGATCTGGGCATTGTTCAGCCCAGACCAAGCGGGATTTTTGGATCCCAGCAGCAGATGATGCCAAATTGAGACCACATCATGATTCATTTGTTGGACGTAGATGTGCTTTTCAAGAGTTTCCTGTGCTATTCGGTGTGTGGATCCTGACACATGGCCAAAGCCTCGTTCTTCCTCAAATGAACCCCAAAAGGTGCCATGAATTCCCTGCAGATGAGTTGTTTCCGAGACGGACACCGGTCAGGTATACACGTGTTTTCCGTGTCACGTGTCTGAGGCACCGCCTCCGGGCCTGACCTCGCAGTGGGAGACATTGAACATGGCCACCAGGACGATGTGTGGAGCGTCTTCTCCAGATGTGAAGGGAAGAGAGAAAGAGAGAGAGAGAGAGAGAAAGAGAGAGAGGTGTGTGAGGTGAGGTGAGGTGAGGTGAGGTGAGGTGAGGTGAAGTGAAGTGAAGTGAAGCGAAGTGAAGTGAGTGGGTTGCTCTCAGAAAAGTGCAGGAGCAGGATCAAGGCCGTTTTTTGGGGGATGGGATGGACGATGCGGGCCATGGACCGGAGTTCCTGAGGACCCTCTACCTGTGGGTCCTCCAGGCAGATTCACATAATCGTTGTTGCACCTGTTCAAACCTCAGCATAGAAGCAGCTCGGGGCTCCTCTTCGATCTAGGCCTAACATCTTCCCATCTAGACGCAGTGGTTCTTCCAGCGTTTTGCTCGTAGGGATCGTTTAGGGTACCCCCTGCTTCGTGTGGAGTCAGGCGAACTTCAGGATTGCTCAACAGCTAGACCAGCACTGGGAGTTCCCCCCAAAAAACACCTCAAAGGCCGCTTGCAGCCAGCACTTTCCCAACAGATCCCTATGGTTTGGTCGCCCCCCGTCCGCCACCGGTGGGTGACCCCAGAGCTCTCCAGAGGTCGTTCAGAGGTCGGTGGCGCGATTGGGCGCTAGATAGGAGATGAAGATTCTACTGAGCTCCAGCTGCAACTAGAAGTCTTTCAACATAGGCGGTTTCTCTAGGTTGGAGGCCAGCGCTAGGAGGTTGGAGGCGTTGGAGGCCATCGCTAGCACTTTAGACCACCGGCTCCAGGTCACGAACCTGGTGCGACGCTTGAAGGCTCAGGCCAGACCACCGAAAACAGATGCGACGCCAGCGAAAACGCGCCAGGTTCCAGACTCTGATGGATTCTCAAGGGTTGAACGAATTGTGCAACATCAAGTCATTGGTCAACAGGTGTCCCTTTTTGGTTTTTCCAGTGGAGCAACACGTCCAACTCGGACCAAGTAGCTCCGTGTGGCACTCGGTGACGTCTCTCGGTCTGTTCGGTCTGTTCGGTCTGCTTTTCGGTTTCCGTTTTCGAAACACATCGTCTCACAGCGTCTGCCAGATGTCTCGCTCTGAACCGGCAGTGGACATAAAACGAGTTCCCAGAGTTGAGCCCTAGAGGACAATAGTTTTTCCAGCTGGCTTCGTTTTTGTTTCTTCACCCAACAGTTCTTGCTTCAAACCGTGCACCCAGGGTTTCCAAGGTGGCTGGCTGGCAGGTGCCTATGTTTGAGGGCACGAAGTCAAAAGTGTTTCTTTTTCTCTAAGGTACTGCTCTTCTCTTAGAATCACTTCTAGGATAAATGAGTAAACGGTTCAGTAGCTTGCAGCTCCTGGAAATAGAGTCCATCTCTATTTGCAGCATCTTTTTGGTGGAAAAGCATGTTGGACACCATGACCTGGATGCATCTTGAAGTTTCAGGACCCCTCGGACCCCACCCATTCCCCCATTCCACTCCTCGTTGGTTTGGGAACTATGAAAAACCCTGGCTGTGTTCAAGTCTTTGTTTTTTTTCAGGAGGACCATCTGACCATCATATCGTTTGGGAGCGTTCTTTTTTCCGGTCCTACGTGTGACATGGAGCATCCCCTCCGTCGTGAAGCGATGTGACAGAACACGACGTCGCCGGGTTTCGATCCTTCCCGTGGCTTCGTTTCGGCTTCAACGTCCAGGAGGTGCAGATGGTCTTCGAACGCTATGTGGGCCCCATAGCCCAATGCACCTTGATCGAGGACGCATGCTCCATCACTTTCATGAATGCGGACCACGCACAGGCACCTCATTCATCGCTTCAGAGTCCGCCGACAGTTGCAAAAGCGCTCAGGAGGACTTCGCGAAAAACCCAAGTTTGGTGCTTTTTTTAGGAGAACCAGGCACCCAAATGGAGTTCCTTCAAGTCGTAATGTGTTGCCAGCAGTATCAGCATACACATTTCCATGGTGCCTTTCAATGTCACGTAGTTCGTGTTACATATTTCTTCCACCTATCTCTGTTTAGTTGATGCTCACCGACCACCCCCCCTCGAGCAAAGGCGAGGTTTTCCGTGCCAAGGTTGAGGTCAAGTTACGTTTTAGCAGGGTTTGGGTTCTGACCAGTGAAGTGCTTCTCAGAACTCCATCGATTCCAGTCCAAGTGTTCCCAAACCGGAATGTGTTTCGATGATGAGGACATCGGGAGGTTCTTTTTTGTCGTTTGGGCGCCACGTGGCACAGTACGTAAAAGAAGAAAATTAAGCGACGAATGGCTTTGTTGTATTGATTTGTGGGTCGAATTCCGAATTCCGTTTCCGCGCCCTGCCTCTGTCGGGCGTCCTCGAGGCGGCGGTTGACCGCTATGATGGTGGGGTGCTTGAGGTCAGAACGGACGCTGGGATGAATGGAGGCACCCTGAACCAAAAACCCATGGGTTGGGGGACTTCTAGTTGTGAGACAAATCAATGTTTTACCCAGATGGACTGGTTGTGAGCATTCCAAGCTAGAGCAAACCCATGCTTGGAAAAGTCCTTCCTGGTGGGGCTGAGGACAAGTCTGTTCCCGGAGAAGCTTTGATATTGTATCCCAAGGACAGCAACTTTCGACGCTCCTTGGCTGACAGGAATGGGGCGAAACAGGAGTCGCCCTGCTCTCAAACAGGAGCCTTTTGGTCACTTTTGGTAGCGAACCACCCTCCAGGACACATCATTGTTGGTTCATTTTGCCTTTGTTGCAAGTGCAACTGTTGGGGTTCCATTTTCGGTGCGCGGCAGCGCTACTCTGATGATGACGGTTTGGGGCATCCACCTGTTAGCTTTCGATCGAGATCTCACCGAAACAGTGCCACTAGCAGCACTAGCACTACATGTCCAGCACTACATGTCCACGCCGACAAGAAGTGGTGGTCGCAGCATGAAGCATCTGACCCGGGGGGATGGTCGAGCTCACTCGCAATGAAGCATCTCACTGACCCACCTTGGAGTCGAAGCTGAGCTCACCGTGATGACATCTGCTGATGGCGGACAGGTCATCTGAGGGCGGAGCGGACAGGTCTGACGGTCCCGTCACTGATCTGTAGCCGCTGGAGATCTGGAGCGGACTGGATGTTGCGATGTCACCGCTCCCAGTCAGGGAGGCTGCAGTTCCATGTGCGTACCGATCTTCCGGCCTTCGAAGAAATCACACTGCCCGAAGAAATGGGGTTGATGTCTGCTAGTCACTTCTGTTCCCTTTTCTGTAGGAAAAGCCAGGGTGCCATGACCCTTTTTCTCGCCATGTGAGGTACTGTGGAGGACCGTATTGGGCCTTTGCAGCAGTGCCACTTGCGACGGGGAGAAGGATGGATGACCCTCTTCCGCTGCTCGGCGTCGTGAGCCGTTGGGTGAGCCGTTTTTTTCTTTCGGGTGCCCAAGACGGAGAAAGTAGATCCCCAGTCCAAATGTGTTCTATCTGTTTAATCCATTTGGGGACCACCATATATTGCATAACATGGAGGTACTTTAAGACGTTGGCCCCGAGAATCACCAGAGGCGGAATGAAGAGGATCCGCATGGGTACTTTGGTTTGAAATGAGGGGACCCCTTCTAAAGCGGCTTTGGGTTTTGCCACGAACAGTTATTTTTTTCCCAGCCTTTCTAAGTGTTCGAACATGAGATGGGCAGTGTAATAGGTGAGACACGTGTTGGGCTGGGAACAAATCCGCTCATGTTTACTTGCAGTTGTATCATTGGTATAGTTATTTGTCCATACCGTTTCGAGATTCTTCTCTGTTTCAATGATTCAGGATTTGGTTTGTCTTTATTAGTGTCATTCCTGACACCACAGACAAAAAAAAGCAACGTGAGCATCGACCTGCAGCATGAGTTGTAGCATCGACCCAGCTCTCTCTCTCTCTCTCTCTTTTTTCAATTCCGGTGACGTTCAACGAAGGATCAACTTGTCAAGGAGTTGATCCAGCTGTTTCGGATTTGATCACGGCTTAAGCCCGCCGAAACCGATCGACGGTGAAGGGGGAACCTGGTTCTACGGCGGGGCCTTTCAGACTGAAATTGAGGTGGCTCCATTACCAAGCAGCTGAAGAGGTGGGGGAGAGCAGAGTGCTGATGATTTGGGGACTTGGGATGACTTGGGTGGGGCGAGCGCTTGCAGACCATTTCACTGCAGAGTCTTGATTGTTCCAAGTAAATCGCATTTGCCATGCCCTTGCCGTTCTCAGGATCGTGATCATCGTTTCTTCGGAAGAACACACTTAGGATATTGTGTACTGAACTGAATGCGGTGCCACACGCCAGCCTAAGAAACCCAAATCCTGAAAGGTCCAGGAAAATCCTAAAGAACCTGGAGGTCTGTAAGAAGAAGTGAGGCCAAAAGCTCACGGTCGAAGACGGCGAACGAGTCGAACCAAATCCCTAAGCAACACCGTGTCGTGAGGTTCTCGGCTTAGCCTCTTGCCATTCGGAAAAGGAAAATTGCGGGTACGTCCAGCTGGCCAAGCTGGATATCCCACCAGATTGCATAGCT